AATTAACTCCGGCGTGGGTTGTTTTTTTGTGGGGGGGGGGCCGGGCTTACAACTGTTTTAGGTACATGTTAAACGTTTCTGTCAAAATTCTATTCGATAGAACGATCCACTAACCCAAATATTAGTTATTTTATACCTATATCTCGTTATCAGGTTTTGTTTATTTACACATTTTATTCGTTATTTTGCTTTTATTTGTCTTGAAAATGATACTAAATGTATCGAAACGTCGATAGTAATAAAATAAATTGTTATATCTGTTAACTCTATCATATTTATGCTAATAAATAACGCATCAGATGTTGTAATAAGCATCAAAAGGTCAAAATAAAAGTTCTTGCATATACCAAAACAAAAATGAATTTATCAATGAAAGATGTTGATAGAAAAATCAGTAAAGATTTGAATGAAGAAATGACAAGAAAATTGCGTGGTGAAGAAAGTATTGAAAGTAGCTTCGTGTAGTATGGGAAGAAATCCTGATAGACCAATTGATTTACTATGAAACGATCGTTAACAACAACAACAAATATAATCGAAAGAGATGCTCGCAGCAAATTGTATTGATAAAACTCAACTACCATACTATGATGCGACAATGACTATTATGGAGGAGCGAGGAAGTTTACCGATATATCGTCTGAAAGAACAGCTGCTAAAAGCTGTCCAGGATAATCAAGTTTTAATTGTTATTGGTGAAACTGGCTCGGGAAAAACAACCCAGATAACTCAATATTTGGCTGAAGTTGGTTATACAAGTAGTGGAAAAATAGCCTGTACACAACCACGTCGTGTTGCTGCCATGTCTGTCGCGAAACGTGTTGCCAAAGACTATGGCTGTCGACTTGAACAAGAAGTTGGCTACACTATTCGCTTTGAAGACTATACATCACCTGAAACAAAAATTAAGTACACGACGGATGGTATGATACTGAGAGAATATTTAATTGATCCAGATATGAACCAATATTCAATTGTCATGTTGGATGAAACACAGGAACGTACAATACATACAGACGTGCTATTCGGTCTTATGAAGCAGGCTGTTCAAAAACGTGGTGAATTAAAATTAATTGTTACATCCGCTACATCAGATTCAGTGAAATTCTCCGAAGATTTTTCCAAAGCACCAATATTTACAATACCTGGTCGAACATTTCCTGTTCAAGTACCTTATACAAACGAACCGGAAACAGATTATTTGGATGCTTCTTTGACTACAGTCATGCAAAGGTGGTTTGTGTGAAACCTATGCTGGATTTTTCAAAAATATTATGTTATCTAACAGCAACGTCACTTGATGGAATCTCAAAATAAATTACGTTAAAAACGTATTTTGAACTTATTTTCCATACGAGCAACTGGAACATGTGGCCAAACGTTTTTTCGACAATAGTCGAGTCAAAACAGGCGAAAAAAACGAGGGGTCATTTTCTGATGAAGTTAATCCCCCTCCTTTACTGCATTTCAACTTCGGGGCTGGAGTCTCAAAAATGTTTCCTTCAATATGAAAAACCCGAATTGAAATTGTCAAAAAAATTGTTTTCGACATCAGTATTCGTCTGTATCAATATTGTGGGTATCCAGTATACTGATGCTGGTGCATACCTTCTCTCTAGCATTTCCAGTGAACCGTGTCTCAGTCTGAATAACATGCTATTTTTCAACTTAACTGTGGAGAGGAGACAGACAATCTTTACTTTTTTCCTCTTAACCATGTAGCCTCTTTCTCTCTCTCTGCTCTGAGTGTTTCGTCTAATAAAAGGGAACTGCAGAATCTGTCCCACAGTTAAGGTAAAAAGTAGCATGTTACTCACACTGAGACACGCTTTACTGGGAATTCTAAAGAGAGACAAGGAGAAAAAGATACTTTTTGCTTAGTCATATGTAATTGAATAGTCGTTACTGCGTATATAGAAACTATTGCAGTACATGTAGACAAATCATTCAACTCCATACCTCATATTAACAACAATCCGAAAACGCAATTTATTTATATCATTAATTGGTTAGCATGGCTCTCGTCCTTATGGTTCTAGCACTAATTGTGTCAGAATGCATGGTAGGCCCCTTAAACAAGACAATGAATGGAATAACAGCGGTGATGTTGCTCTATCCCGAAAGCAACGTGCGGTTGGGGGTGATATCTGCTCACTGGATCTGAATTTCAATTTTTGTGCTACTGGTTTTATATGTTGCCCTTTTAATGCTTCTTTTGACGTCCCTACTTTTTCTTTTCCCACTTATCATCCTGTTCCTACGTTCACTGTTCCGACCATTACTCACGATTCTATACCAATCAGTGTTCCTGCTATCAATGGTCCTACGATTCCTAGTAATTTCACTATTACCCGCGTTCCAATTAGTGTGCCTACTATCACTTATCGTCCTATGACGTTCACTGTTCCCACGGTCACTTATCGTCCTATGACATTCACTGTTCCTACAGTCACTTATCGTCCTATAACATTCACTGTCCCCACGATCAGTTATCCTCATCCTACTGTTACTATTCCTACTATTACCGGTCATCCTGCTACAACCGGTTCTGTTCCTAGTCGGCTTCGAACTCCGATTCGTTTGCGACTCCTTTACCACTACTGGTTACTCCGATTCTAAACAATTGCAATCCTCCGTTTCTTGTAAATCTTAAATGTTGTCCTACCTTGTCTGGTCTTTATGGATGTTTTGTCCGATGTCATGAGTAGGAATTAGATTGGAAGTAGACTTGAACGGCATACGGAAATAATATCAACTGGCTTATTCACTGGATTCAGGGAATATAAGTTCTTGGCAGCATCTTTTGGACATACTATGAATGTAACTATCGTTAAAAAGCTATATTTTATTCAAAAGTCGAGATAAAACTGCATCGAACAATGTATTTGGTGTTGAAAACAACTTGGGTTTAAAATTTGAAAAGTTGAATTACTTGGAAATTTTTATTTTTCGAAACATGAAATTTTGATCTAAAATTCGCTTCTTTTGTCGTCCCTACTTTTTCTTTTCCCACTTATCATCCTGTTCCTACGTTCACTGTTCCCACGGTCACTTATCGTCCTATGACATTCACTGTTCCTACAGTCACTTATCGTCCTATAACGTTCACTGTCCCCACGATCAGTTATCCTCATCCTACTGTTACTATTCCTACTATTACCGGTCATCCTGCTACAACCGGTTCTGTTCCTAGTCCACCGACTAGTCTTTATATTTGTCAACTTCCAAACGCTCAGTGTTAGTAGGTTAAGACAAAGTTAAATCATCTGACTTGGCTCAACATAGTATCTTTAGCGAGAATTGACCAATATTCAGTTTGACTCGTCTGTCGTCTATGACGAAGAATGAAACAGATACAGACGCAAAAGGCTAGAATCGGTCTATACACTGGCTAACGATGAGTACAATAAAAAGCAGACAATATGTACTGAATGGCTACCCACAATAAAATTGTTAATTAGGAAAAATGTTTGTTCTATCAGAGCTACTAATGTCCGAACGAACTAGAGCTGCTAATCTGAGACCAAGGAAAGGTTAAAAAGTGACCAAAATATAATGGCTTCTATCTATTTTTAACGTACTATAAGTAATACTTATTAAGTATCATGGTTTATGTTTTCGTTTCCACACACGAACAAAACAAGGCTAAAAGATTTTCATTTCATTTCATTTATAGCACTCATATTATTCCCATTGTCTCCTCCATAAACAAAATGATCTTTGGTGATCATAGAAGTGTTTCATATATGCTCTGAACAAGGTGAAATTCAAATATTATCGATATAACATACGTCAGCGCAGTTATGTGCTCACGCAATTTGAACGAATTTGGAGATAATTTGCAAAATTCATATTAGTTTTTAGAATATTTACTTCATTCTGCACTAACAATTGCATCTATGATGTAAGATAAATATAAAATCATTCTGCCTGTTGCATTGACCAACATGCCTATTAATTTACCTTGGTCATTAATAAATGGACTACCGCAAAACGAAGTTTCTAGACAACGATCTAGCAAATAACATCGATGTTCTAATAACTCTGAATTATTCTCGTCAACATTATCGTATGCCATCTCATGACATATAGTTGCATTTAATATGCATGCATTATCGATTTGTCTGCTCCCTGCAATAAACGATTGTATTTGATCGTTTCGAAAACCACAAACATACACAGGATATGCTGCAATACTTGTGACATTTGTCAAGAATCGGATCATCTGTTGTTGGTCGATATTTAGTTTTTGTTGATACTATTGACAGATTACTGTTCGGATCATTATACCCCATGTAGCTGAAATTGTGTTCGATGGTGATAGTAAAATTTTTGATTTTATCCCATCAGAATTATATGCAATCTGACAAAGTTGTTATCCACAGTGCACGTTTTCTATTTTGAACAAATTTAGCTCCGATATAAAAACAAGTACCTTGATATTGTTGACCGATTATTGGCCGACAGCACTGACGAACATACGATATTTTATCATTGAGCTCTTGACTTAAACACCATTTACTACACTCCATGGTTGCCATAGTTTGTCACACCATTCGGAAAATTCAAACAATGCTTAATCTGCACTCAAAGTTTGTTCAGAAACGAGAGTAAAGAAAAAACTGTATGTGGTTGTAAGAAAAGAATAATGTGTTCTCTTTTTGCCATTAGCAACTAAACTTGTTTGCTTTTTCTTTTAAAATAGTATCCTTTTCTTCTTTTTCATTCTTATCAGTCATTTGTCTTTTACAGTCTTTTTATTTATTTCAGAGCAACATCATCAATTTACTTATATATTTATATATATGTTATCTTTATCGTGCACAATTTGATGCTTCCATTCAATATATAAATGTTAACTATTCAACAATGCGTGCGTTTCATGATCAATCAAGATTTAAGAAAATCAAATTGTTTTTTTGTTGGTATTCATGCAATACACAATAATAGTGAACGTGCTTTATGGTTAAGCCAGCACGATGGTCAACTTCAATATGACCATACTGTTGAAATATATTTCTCACCTTCAAAATCTATCGAAGCTACATGTATATTCGTCGATCGAAAGAGTAATTTAGTTGTTTTATCAACAAAGAAAGAGTGTGGACCCATAAGTGAACCAGTTGTTTTCAGTTGTTCTATACATAGTACAATGGATGTGTTTGTTGTCGGATTTAGCGACCAACAGTTAACGATAAGAGACGAACCTGAAGATCCTTTGGTAATTAAATCATGGATAGACGAGCAATTCGTCGACCATGAATGTATTCTTGAATCATCGAGCAGTAGAGATCTACAATTACATCGATTTTATTCGATAGTCAATGATACAGAATACAATAAAAATCGGACTGGTGGTATGCATATCAATATTTCTGGTTGTCCAGTTATTGATCACCAAGGCAACATAGTCGGAATGACGAGTAGTGTGGATGATTATGAGGATGTTGTCTTATGCGCAACATATCTTATGGATGCACTCTACCATTGTAAACGTGGTGTTAGTTCAAAATAACAAAATTTGACGGCACCTGATAGTGTTCGTAATATGATTTTTCATACTGGCTAATACACTTTTGAAGCCTCCACACATGCGTAGAATTTTTTTAATTTCACTGTGAAGCGTGGAGAACTTGCTTTTGCAGATATTCTTAAAAGAAGAGTAGCATTCTTTAGAGTATAGTTCAAAGATATACAATGAAAATCACGTTCTTTTCGTTGTCTAGTTTGCAATAGAACGATAAGTACTGATTGTTCGAATAACTTCTCTAAATATAGTGCGGAAAAACGTCATGTTCACCGTACATCTTTTGAGAATACTTCATACTGTCAGTATTGTTATATTAAAGAACGTTGTTATAAATGAACCATGACATCTTTCTTCATCGAAAAAATAAAAATAATTTTAGTTAAACATTGAACCATCCGAGAACAATCTGTTTTTCACACTAATAAATTTTGCGAAAAGTAAGTCATTCGTATGAATTGTAGCATACAATTTATTATAGCCTAACCAAACTCATACTTTGCACATATATCTTCATCTATTTCCGATGTACTGATTGTTGTTTTAATTGAATTTTTGATCTACCTTGTTCATAAAAAGAAACAAGAAAGGCTAAAAGATTTTTATTTCATTTCATTTATAGTACTCATATTATTTCCATTGTCTCCTCTATAAACAAAATGATCTTTGGTGATCATAGAAGTGTTTCATATATGAAGTTTTTCTTTGTTTAATACCTGTTGGCATTGTTATTGATAATGAAATAAAAGTAATATCTCACTGAGTATATTACTCATCTAAGTCTGTTGATAAAAAATTAA